GGACTGACTTTTTGGATTAACTATCAAAATGCCAACCCCAACTGGATGAGAAAAGAAAGCTGCTGCTGCACCTGCCATGTGGGACAACTGTGGAGTAAATGAGACAGGTATGTGGAGTGACACAGTGCCTGACACCAGGTCAGTTACGCTAAACGGTGGCGATGATAACCACCCAGACTCTGTGGAGACTTTCTGCTTAGTGACTAACTAGCATAGTGTATAGCCCTATTACTAACAGTTTCCCTTAAATTAGGCTGAATCCATGCAGGCCACCAGAATAGCCAAGGGGATAGGAATGAAGAAAAGATTCAGCGTCCATGGCAAAGTGAGCACTCCCTGCAGAATGGACACAGAGGCAGTGCCGGGGTCTCACCTGGGCCATCTCGTCCTGCGCCATGCCCAGCACGTCTTTCATCAGGTGGTATGCCTCACAGATCAGCTGCATGTCCCCATACTCTATCCCGTTGTGCACCATCTTTACGAAGTGGCCTGCTCCCTCATCTCCCACCTGTCAGGACAAGCACCAAGAGGCCTTCAGAGAGACAGGCGACACACCAGAGAAGTCCACATCAGCTTTGACGCCAACGTCCCTGGCAAGGCTACCTCTCCACACAAAAAATAACAAGTATAAAATGAATATAGTATTTTTGATACAAGAATCATATAGCAATTCAATACAAGCTTCAATCCAGAACAGTATTATTTAACACTAATTCTAGACTCATTCTTCTCAAGGTTCCTCAAAGTCCCTGAATTCACTCTCAATACCTATGGCTCTCTAGCCTGTATTTTCTAGTCTTTCTCATCATTCAAAGCAACTCCCCGCCTTCCCAGCCCCTACCCATAGGAAAAAAAGTCCTCTTTTTTCCCAAAGTTACCACTTTTCTAGCAACTAGAGGTTAAAATATACTGGCTAATTAAATCACTTTTGTTTTTTCAAAATATAAATGTAGTTGTTTCTAATGGCTACTGAAAAGTAAAATGACCCTAGATCCAAGGTTTCAACCTTGTAAGCCCAGAAAGGAATCCTTCCAAGGCCCCATCATTGACCAGATCTTTATTGATAAGCTGGCAAGATATATAAGATCAGAATACCAGCTTATGAATGTAGGATGAAAACCTTAACTATGGATCTTCATGGTTACAAATGTTAGTCTGGTCAACAGAGTCTGTCCCTACAGACAAGCAACTGGGAAGCCAGATTATCTGAAAATTATTTAGTTATCAAGGAACTGGAACGAAGGGAGTGATGAGAGCCAAACAGTTCATGGCATCAGGCTCTCAGTCATCTACACCCAGCTCCATGACAGGGAGCCGCCTGCCCAGGAGGCCAGGTGTTTGGATGACATGGGCAGTCTCTCTCCTGGTTGTCAGCACCTGGACCAATACAACTGACGCTTACATCAGGACTCCACTGTCCATGTTTCTCTTTTTTTTGAGACGGAGTCTCACTCTGTTGCCCAGGCTGGAGTGTGGAGTGTGGCAGTGTGATCTTGGCTCACCACAACCTCTGCCTCCTGGGTTCACGCAATTCTAACGCCTCAGCCTCCCGATGAGCTGGGATTACAGGAGCACACCACCACACTCGGCTAATTCTTGTATTTTTGTAGAGGTGGGGTTTCACCATGTTGGCCAGGCTGGTCTCAAACTGCTGACCTCAGGTGATCCACCCACCTCAGTCTCTCACAGTGCTGGGATTCCAGGCAGGAGCCACCACGCCTGGCCTTGTCCATGTTTCTATTGCTGCCCCCGCCGACTTCTGATTTTGACACTCTGGTCATGCAGTAACATGGCTACTAATATCTTACTTTACCTTACCCTTCCTGCCACTTCAGCCATGAACTAAGGAGCACCTGCTTGATCAACACACGTAGAAGCAAGGACAGTGCTTCTCTTCATGACTTTGTCCTAAGTGTGTGTATATAAAAAGAAATTGCAGGCTGCGTGCGATGGCTCACACCTATAATCCCAACACTTTGGGAGGCCGAGGTGGCCAATTACTTGAAGTCAGGAGTTCAAGACCAGCCTGGGCAACATGGTGAAACCCCATCTCTACCAAAAATACACATGCCTATCATCCCAGCTACACTGGAGGCTGAGGCCTAAGAATCACTTGAACCTGGGAGGCGGAAGTTGCAGTGAGCTGAGATTACGCCACTGCACTCCAGCCTGGATGACAGAGCAAGACTCTGTTTCAAAAAAAAAAAAAAAAAAGAAGAAGTTGCTACCACTCGCTTTTACTGCAGTGATCTTTTTGTTTTTGTTTGAGAGACAGGGTCTCACTCTGTTACCCAGGCTGGAGTGCAGTGGTATGATCACTGCTCACTGCAGTCTTGACTCCTGGTCTCAAGGGATCCTCCCAAAATGCTGGATCACAAGCATGAGCCACTGCGCCCGGCCTTTTACCACGGTCATCTACTGTCAGGGAACAGAAGTCCCTTTCCAATCCTTCATACTAATGAGAAGATTACTCAGCCCTTTACGTCAGTCTCAGCACCAGCCTCTTTCTACCCTAAGCAGATTCTGACTGAGCTCAATGGCCAACCACTGGTGAAAAGGTAAGGACAGGTGAGCTGCTGTAGCCAAAGCCACCAAGCACTGGCAGGCCTAGGAGGGAGGCTTCCTGGATTCCTCAGAGACCTGAGTCCTTGTTTCAACCTCACTGTTCATCTCATATAAAATAAAATTGAAAATTAGCATTAAAATTGCTGATATAGAATTAAAGGGAATCAGGAGCTAAAGAGAGCTTGGAGATCATGTAGTCCAACCCCGTATCTTATAGATAAGGAAACTGAGGTCCATGAAGGGACATGGCTTGCCTGATGTCACAGTTAACAGAAAGCCAGAATTGACACTCGGGTTTCCTAAGCCTATTTTTTTCCTTCCACAGCATGGGTTGAACTACAAATGAGATAAAGTTTACTTTAACAGCAACATGAGGCCGGGCATGGTGGCTCATCCCTGTAACCTCAGCACTTTGGGAGGCCAAGGCAGGCAGATGACTTGAGAGTACAGGAGTTCGAGACCAGCCTGGGCGACATGGTGAAACCCCATCTCTACAAAAATTGGAAAGGCGTGGTGGCATGCACCTGCAGTCCCAGCTACTCAGGAGATTGAGGTAGGACGATCACTTGAGCCTGGGAGGCGGAGGTTGCAGTGAGCCGAGATGGTGCCACTGCACTATGAACTAGGCTAGGACTCCTTCCCATTCAGTAAGGGTCCAAGTCCACAAGTGACTTTGTTCAAGCACAGAATGCCTGAATCCCACAGTATAGGAAGGGGAATTTTTCACATTCATGGCCAGGACATTTGACACGGCAACAGTATATTCAGTCCTCTTCCTTTCACCCATGCAAGCAAACGCCACTTTTGATTCTGACATTCTTTCCTTTGGCCGTGAAATAATATGGCTCAAAAAAAAATCTTACTTCACTTCATCCTAATCCTTTTTAAGGGATCCATCTTTTAGATGAATTACAGAAGGCTGCTTTTAATATCAACCTCAAGGCTATGAACAGTCAGTTAAGATACAAAGATGTGAACAGCAGGCATGCATTCTAGGTGTTGGCTATGCTAGCAATCAAAGATTGAGACATTTATGTCACCAAGCTAACCACTAGGAGACCATGGTGGCCTTTCTCTGTGCACTTCATCACTTAGACATGCTCGTGTTGCCAACTGGCTTTAAAGAGTAGCCCAGAACTTGCCCAGTCACAGCAGGGTTCTCCAGTTCCTACTTTTGCAGCAATGCCTTGGAAGATGGTCTTGATGTGGGGCCTGTGGAAAGAAACAGTGCAGTTCAGCTAATGAGAAGAGATAGGCTGAGAGCCCAATTACATACCCATAGACACCAACGCCCATCTTTTCCGTTTTTTTTTTTTTTTTTTTTTGAGACAGGGTGTCTTTTTGTCACCCAGGCTGGAGTGCAGTGGTATGATCTCAGCTTGCTGCAGCCTCCTCAACCTCCCAGGTTCAAGTGATCTTCCTGCTTCAGCCCTCTAAGTAGCTGAGACTACAGGTATATGACACCACGCCCAGCTAATTTTTTTGGATTTTGTAGAGATGGGGTTTTGCCATGTTGCCCAGATTGGTCTCAAACTCCTGAGCTCAAGTGATCCACCCACCATGGATACCCAAAGTGCTAGGATTACAGGCATAAGCCACCACCGCACCAGGCCCATCTTTTTGTTTCTAATGGGAGGTGGAAGTGCCCACAAAAAGATAATGAATGGGCCGGGCACAGTGGCTCACGCCTGTAATCCCAGCACTTTGGGAGGCTGAGGCGGGCGGATCACGAGGTCAGGAGATCGAGACCATCCTGGCTAACATGGTGAAACCCCGTCTCTACCAAAAACACAAAAAATTAGCCGGGTATTGTGACAGATGCCTGTAGTCCCAGCTACTCAGCAGGAGAATGCAGTGAACCTGGGATGTGGAGGTTGCAGTGAGTCGAGATGGCACCACTGCACTCCAGCCTGGGCGACAGATCGAGACTCCGTCTCAAAAAAAAAAAAAAAAACATAATGAATGTGCTAAGTTCTCAAGCTAAACTTCAGACCCTTGACTAAAACTGGCACCCTTCTCCAGATCCTGGTGGACTCTCAAAGCAGAGACTGGACTATCAGACTGAGACGACAGAAAGGCTGAGCAGAAGCATCACCAAAGCACCAGAAGAAATGTCTTCTTAGAGACAGGGTCTCACTCTGTTGCCCAGGCTGGACTGCAGTGGTGCAATCACGGCTCCCTGCAGCCTCAAACTCCTGGACTTAGATGATCCTCCTGCCTCAGCCTCCCAAGTAGGTGGGGCTACAGGTGTGTGCCATCACAGTCAGCTAATTTTTTGTAGGGACAGGATCTTGCTATGTTGCCCAGGTTGGTGTTGAGCTCCTGGCCTCAAGCAATCCTCACACTTCAGCTTCCCAAAGTGCTGGGACCGTAGGCATGAGCAACCATGCCTGGCAAATTTTTTGTTATTGTTGCAGAGACGGAGTCTCCCTATGTTGATGTGGCTGGTCTTGAACTCCTGGGCTCCAGCACTCCTTCCACTTCAGCCTCGAGTCACTGAGATGACAGGCATGAGCCATCACACCTGGCTCAGAAACTTCTATTGCAGCAGCAGCAGATGGTATGATTTCAAACAGCAAGCAATACCAAAGTTCCTTTAGAGATCCTCTTTTAATTTTTTCCCTTTTCTTGATTTCTCCTTATAATGGCTTTTAAAAAGTGAAGAGACCCTCTTTTACTTGTCTGGATGTGTGCTGCCAGGCACAGAATGGTTCTGAACATTTGGATTAAGAACCAGACAGCGTTTTTGAGAGCTACATTACTATTCAGAGAAAGGCCGCTGTTCACTCCTTCCACAGCTCAGCACGGGGATATATTACTCCTGAGGCTTTCCCTCGCTGTTCTGCTCCCTATTGGCCAGTCAGGGCTTCCTCACAAAAAGTTCTTGGTGCAGACATGAAATCTTACAGGGTTGCAAAGTTAACATTTAGGATTAGGGATGAAGACAGCTACAATGGAAACTGCAGAGCTTTACTGAACTTTTACAGTGTCCTTCAGGTAAAGGTGCCATTTGTACTTCTGCCAGCACAGTATGAGGAAAGAGAACTGATGGAAACAACTGGAGCACTCCGTATGTCAAATACTTTTATGTGCATTGTCTGTTGGTTGCCCTTCTAACTGTTCACTGTGCAGGTGCTTTGAGGTATTTTCAAACCTTTTTTTTCTTAAGAAACAGGGTCCCACTATGTCGTCCAGGCTGGCCTTGAACACCTGGTCTCAAGCACTTCTGACATCTCAGTCTCCTGAATAGCTGGCACTACAGGTGCAAGCCACTGCACACACAGCTGTTTAAACTTTTGAGAAGCAGGAAGGTCTCTCTACTACTGTGTTTTATTAATAACACACTGAAGAGAATCCCCAGACTCATTCACCAGAAAGGTAATTTAAAGAATCATTTTTTCTTTTTTACTAAGACCGAGTCTCACTCTGTCACCCATGATGGAGTGCAGTAGTGTTATCTCAGCTCACTGCAACCTCCGCCTCCCAGGTTCAAGTGATTCTCATGCCTTACCCTCCCGGGTAGCTGGGATTACAGGGGCCCCCCACCATGCCCGGCTAATTTTTGTATTATTAGTAGAGACAGGGTTTCACGATGTTGGCCAGGCTGGTCTTGAACTCCTGACCTCAATTTCACGATGTTGGCCAGGCTGGTCTTGAACTCCTGACCTCAAGTGATCCTCCCGTCTTAGTCTCCCAAAGTGCTGGGATTACAGGCATGAGCCACCGTGCCCAGGCTTAAAGAATCATATTGCAGGCCAGGCGGGTGGCTCCCTGTAATCCCAGCACTTTGGGAGGCTGGGGCAAGCGATTACCCACAATTATATATACATATACATATACACACACGCACACACACATATATATAATTATTATTTTTTTGCTTTGTTTTTTGAGACTGAGTTCTGCCTGTCGCCAGGGTGAAGTGTACAGTGGCGCAATCTCAGCTACTAACCCCGCCTCCTAGGTTCGAGCAATTCTCCTGCCTCAGCCTCCCAAGTAGCTGGGACTACAGGTGCACGCCACCATGCCCGGCTAATTTTTGTATTTTTAAGTAGAGACAGGGTTTCACCATGTTGGCCAGACTCCAGGTCTCCTGACCTGGGTGATCTGCCCGCCTCAGCCTCCAAAGTGCTGGATTACAGGCGTGAGCCAGCATGCCGGGCCAATTTATATGTTTTAATTAAAAAATTTTCTGTTGGCCAGGCGTGGTGGCTCACGCCTGTAATCCCAGCACTTTGGGAGGCCGAGGCGGGCGGATCACGAGGTCAGGAGATCAAGACCATCCTGGCTAACATGGCGAAATCCCATCACTACCGAAAATACAAAAAGTTAGCCGGGCGTGGTAGTGGGCGCCTGTAGTCCCAGCTACTCAGAAGGCTGAGGCAGCAGAATGGCATGAACCCGGGAGGTGGAGCTTGCAGTGAGCCGAGATCGCGCCACTGCACTCCAGGCTGGGCAACAGAGTGAGACTCCAAAAAAAAAAAAAAAAAAAAATTTTTTTTTTTTTTTTTTTTTTTGTAGAAACAAGATCTCTCTATGTTGTCCAGGCTAGTCTTCAACTCCTGGGCTCAAATGATCCTCCCACCTCAGCTTCCCAAAGTGCTGGGATTATAGGCATGGGCCACTATGCCCAGCCTGTTACTCATGATTATTACATAAAGTTACTTTTGGGCTACATATCAGCAAAAAGAGGCAGACCTTATTCCTACATCTGGACATTGCACAGAACAGTATCTAAACTGCTTCCTTAAAGCCTGTTTAGAGGCCGAGCATGGTGGCTCACACCTGTAATCCCTGCACTTTGGGAGGCCAAGGCAGGCAGATCGCCTAAGGTCAGGAGTTCGAGACCACCCAGGGTAACATGGTGAAACCCTGTCTCTACTAAAAGGCAAAAAATTAACCGGGCATGGTGGCATGAGCCTGCAGTCCCAGTTACTTGGGAGGCTGAGGAATAAGAATTGCTTGAGCCCAGGAGACGGGGGTTGCAGTGAGCTAAGATCTCACCACTGCACTCCTGCCTGGGCAAGAAAAAAGAAAGCCTATTTAGAACTTCAGGTATCAGTCTTGATAGAAATAACAGAAGAAAAAAGGCAAAAGAGGATTGTGCACATATATTATATCAAAGCGATAAAAGAAATTGCCGGCATCTCCTAGGTCTCACCCTCAGGGCACCACAGAGATCAGGGTGGCAGAACTGCTCCTGGCTTATTTGTTCTCAAAGTGTAGCGCCCTTGTACAGAGATGGATACAGTGCTGATGGCACTCACCATGCTTCTTTATTCCCTCCTGGCATGAGCGATGGGCCATACCGGGCCCCTTCCTCTCCACCACTGACCCCGCTCCCCACAAATAAAATTCCCTTGGCCTTGAGGTCTCGGCACCGTCTCTGAAGGACAGAAAAATAATTTCATTATGCTTCCATGTTTCATTATGCTCCCAAAACATGTTTCCCTTATAACTGAGAGGAAGTATAAGATAGGTATGGAGAGCCTACATTTGACAGGAAATGACCCAAGAATCTAGGAATAACTGATGACTCAGAAAAGTTAATCCCCTATGTGTAGAAGTTAAAACAAAACAATACAACTATGGACATTCAAGATACATACCTCTTCCCCAAAGTGAAATAATTAAGCCAAACACACATTGGCATTTTACTGGAAAAGACCTTGAATAAGACTCAATTAAGAGTAGGTTTAATACAACTTAATGCCACTCAGTACTTCAGAGCACACAGGACTTCCCTCAGCGTTTGATACTATTAGAGGAGTGGTTCTAAACCAGTTAGAGACTGACATATCATGGATTACTTGGAAGGGGAAGGGGAGGAGTTAAAACATAATTCTCGGCCCACTGTATCTGAGTATTCATCCTCTGAGATGAATGTGTGACTGAGATTCTCACCCACCAAGTGTGTCTTTCTTTTTTTTTCAGATGGAGTCTCACTCTGTTGCCCAGGCTGGAGTGCAGTGGCACGAACTCGGCTCACTGCACCTTCTGCCTCCTGGGTTCAAGCAATTCTCCTGCCTCAGCCTTCCTAGTAGCGTGCCACCATGCCAGGCTAATGTTTTGTATTTTTAGTAGAGACGGGTTTTCACCGTGTTAGCCAGGATGGTCTCGATCTCTCGACCTCGTGGTCCACCCACCTCGGCCTCCCAAAGGGCTGGGATTACAGGCATGAGCCACCGTGCCCAGCCCCCAAGTGTCTTAACAGAAAAAAAGGCTGAGAACTATTATATCAGTAGCAATCTCACAAAAATCAGTACCACAGGGCAGTTCACCCTACTGTCACATATGCAATGCTGATACTTTTTTTTTAATGTTCTCAGAACCTGGGAGAATCTGGACTGAAGAACACTTACTGTGGTGTCCCTATATTCAGAATTTCCTCCATCAATGATGATGTCACCAGTGTCCAACAATGGTACCTGTAACCAGACACCAGCATTAAGACGGACCAGAAATGAAACATACCTTGGCAAATTAAAACAAAAATTTATTCCAAATAAACATAGTCTAAAAAGAGTCTCATTCTGTTGCCCAGCTTGAAATGCAGAAATGCGAACATGGCTCACTGAAACCCTGAACTCCTGCAGTCGTGTGAATATGACTCATTGCAACTTTGAACTCCTTGAACCACAATGCCCAGCTAGTTTAAAAATTTTTTTTGTAGAGATGGAGTCTCACCACATTGCCCAGGCTGGTCTCAAACTCCTGGGCTCAAAATCAAAAGATCCTCCTGGCTTGGCAGGGGGCCAATGCACCCAGCCTATCTAATCTTCAATAATCCTCTCTGTGGCTAGAGTTGGACTCTATTTAAAAGTTTAGGGCTGACCGGGCTCAATGGCTCACACCTGTAATCCCAACACTTTGGGTGGTTGAGGCAGGCCAATCGCTTGAGCCCAGGAGTTTGAGACCAGCCTGGACACCATAGCAAGACCCCGTTTCTATTTTTAAGTAAGTAAATAGATTAAACACTAACTATAATGTCTGTGTCTAGAAGACAGTGGGGATTCAGTAAATACATATCAAATGTTTTAGTGTATGAATGAATGATTTTATGACCACAGTTCAGAGATCAGGAAGAGACAGAGCCTTGAACATGAATATCTACCTACAGCACACCAACCAGGCTGGGCTTTATTATTTATTACTCAATCTTCCCCCTACAAGGCTCCAGTTAACATTACTTACTATTTTCCTATACTGAAGAATAATCTACCATTTTTCAGTTTTCTCTGTCTAAAACTGAGCACAGGTAGCTTGCCACACAAAAAATTTACTATGTCCTTTTCTTAAACTCAGTGTTCTTCCTTTCTAGGTCATTTGTTTGAAAAACAGTGGCATACTGGTTACTAATCCTTCTTCCTGTGGAAACAACCTCACCGTTGATGCCACTCCTCTAGAAAAGGAATCACTCCTCTAGAAAAGGAGTCACTCCTCTAAAAAAGGAGTCACTCCTCTAGAAAAGGAATGCTCAGCATCCCCTGAGGTATCACTGCACTGCTTACAGCAAAACATTTCTTCTAAATGGGTAGTGCCTGGGTTTTTTCAGAGCTGTTACTACAGAATTATTTTGGGGTATCTAAATACATTATTTTCACTGGTTCCCCTACATTTTTTTTTTCCCAAAAAAGATACACCTGCTAAAGCCAATAAATTGTTTGGTACAAAAATAAGCATCCAGTTCCCTAGGATTCCCTAAGAAGATCTTGATTTTATTTTCATTTTTTTTGAGACAGAGTCTCTCTCTGTTGCCCAGACTGGAGTGGCACGATCTCAGGTCACTGTAACCTCTGCCTCCCAGGTTCAAGTGATTCTCATTCTTCAGCCTTCCGAGTAACTGGGATTACAGGTGTACACCCCAACACCCAGCTAATTTTTATATTTTTAGTAGAGATGGGGTTTCACCATGCTGGCCAGGCTGGTCTTGAACCTGGGGTCACAAGCTTGCACCACCATACCCAGCTAATTTTGTTTATTTTATGTAAAGACAGGGTTTCACCATGTTGCCCAGGCTGGTCTCGAACTCCTGGGCTCAAGTGATCCATCTGAACCAGCCTCCCAAAGTGCTGGGATTACAGGCCTGAGCCACTGTGCCCTGCCTTAATGAATTTTTATTGAAATGTCTGTTAGTATTCTCAGAATTACTACCACCAAAGCACAAAGTTATTTCATAAGTGCCGATCAAGTTAACCAACACTGGCCGGGCGCGGTGGCTCAAGCCTGTAATCCCAGCACTTTGGGAGGCCGAGATGGGCGGATCACGAGGTCAGGAGATCGAGACCATCCTGGCTAACACGGTGAAACCCCGTCTCTACTAAAAACACAAAAAACTAGCCGGGCGAAGTGGCGGGCGCCTGTAGTCCCAGCTACTCAGGAGGCTGAGGCAGGAGAATGGCGTATACCCGGGAGGCGGAGCTTGCAGTGAGCTGAGATCCGGCCACTGCACTCCAGCGCGGGCGACAGAGCAAGACTCCGTCTCCAAAAAAAAAAAAAAAAAAAAAAAAAGTTAACCAACACTGCGACAGTTAAGCAATTATTTGGTCAGAATTTAGCAGAAATTGGAAAAAAAAAAATCTCTGGAGTTAACAGGAGAAAGGAAGAAACCAAAACCAGCTGTTATCGTGGTAGCAGCTGAGAGCAGAGCTGGCCTCACCAATTTTTCGATGAAATCATCCACAGCTTGCCCAGCCTTCACAAGGAGGATGATCCGCCGGGGCTTCTTCAGCTTGGAGACCATCTCTTTCAGGGACTGAGCACCCACCACTTTGGTTCCCTTTGCCTCATTGGCCAAGAAATCATCAACTTTGGAGACAGTCCTATTAAAAGCACAGACCTAGAAGGACAAAAGGCCTGAGTAGGAGATCCAGGACACATAAGACCTTCAGACTGTGGCCCAAGTAACAATGACCTTTCCATTCAGCCCAAGTTCTGGGGAGGTCAGATCTGCCTTTGCCTTTTCCTCCCCAAGCTGTGGGAGGCTCACTGTAAAGTTATGTCACCTCAGTAGAATGAAACTGGCAGAAAACCGAGGCGAAGACCAACTACCCCCGGCGTATCAGGTAGAATCCACAACCAAGCTGTTAGGACTCAAAATCAAATCCAGGAACCGGCTGGTTCAACAGGCTCTGTCTGTTGCTACTGATCATCCTGGCGTCTAAGCCACTTTAGCATTTAGAAGAAAAATTTTCACTCTCCCCAGATCTCATCAGGCAATCAGGTTAGAGCTCTACACAGCCAGCAGGGGTTCTCCTCCCGCACCCTTCGTCTCTACTAGACACTAATCCGTTCATTCGGGCTGTGAACCTCACGGACCCACAGGCACACTCCGCCGGACTAAGGTCGAGATCGGCCCGCACAAGCCTACAGGGTGCTTCTCCTTTCCATACAAAAAGACATGAGCAGCAACAGAGTGCATTCGCAAAGCACGGCCAGGAGACACGTGAGCTCCCAGACCCATCGCCGGCCTCTTAGCCCGGGAACCAAAGAGAAGACAATGCGCCCGCGCGGCTTACCACAAAGCCATGGTCATTCATGTTCAGAATTAAGTTCTGGCCCATGACGGCCAATCCGATCAGCGCGATGTCAGCTCTGGAGGGGCAGAAAGAGAACAAAGGAAAGAGTCAGCGCCGCTCGACGCGCTGAAACCCAGGAGCCCGGTCCTTCCCCGTTTGGCCGTAAGTGGGAGTTTGCACTTTCCTCCGCGCCTCTGGGGCCCCCCGAAGCCGGGCGCGCAAGCTGCAGAGCCTCCGCCGGGCAGGCGGCCCCCAGCCCCGCCCTCGCGCCCGGCTCCGGCTGGCACGCGTCCCGCAGGTGTCCCTGCAGACTCGGCGAGGCCTGGCCGCGCCTCCTCCCTGGCCGTCGAAGGGACCCGCCCCGCCCCGAGCCGGCGCGGCCAAGAGAAGGGGGCCGGGCCCGCAGGGAAAGAGCTCCGGGCCCGAGACGCCGCAGGACGAGGGTCCCAGAACCCCAAATGAGCTCAGGCGACCTCCAGGATGGGAGGCGTCGGAGAGAACGAGGGAGATCTCGACCCCCAAAAAGTTCCCCGCCCGCTGAGGCCGAGCCCAGCTGCGCCTGGCGAGTCACTCACTGGGCCATGGCGGCGGACAGAGCAGAACCGAAGAGCGGGGAAGCGCGGAGAGCGAGTGAGTGAGAGACCCGCTGCGGCTCCCTCCAGAGGCTGCGGCGCTCACGCCCGGCTTTTCGGCGCCGGCCAATCGAATAGAAGGGGTGGAGCTGTGAGCCACGCCATTGGCTCTCTCCGACGCCTGTTAGACCATCCGAGGCAAACGTGCCCGCCCACTCCCGGGGGCCGGATCAGTAGAGCGCCGAGCACCTAGATTGACGTGGCCCCGGCGAGGGTCGGGGCTCCCCGCCCACGCGCAGAGTTTTCCGCTCCTCCCACCTGCACCTCGGTCCTGCAAGCTGTCCGTCTGGCGCAGCCGTAGCTATAGCAACTCACGCAGGACCGCGCTTTACAGTTTACCAGGCACTCGGACGCCTTTGGCGCCTGCGTCCGCCGCTCCTTCCTCAGGTCACTGCGGTGCACTGTGCGGGTCCGCATCGTGGCCCTCTGCTCTGGGGCAGGGGCCTGTCGTGCTGGTTCTGTCCTGTACGCACTCGGAATGGGGCCGGGAAAGGCTGAGCCTCAGGGCGATCCTGATGTGGGGCCGTGCGACCGCTCACTGCGGGTGAAGAGACCCAGGCGCAGACAGCGCAGGCGTGGTATGTATTGGTGGGAGTATGATGGGGCCAGGACTTGAGTCTTTTACCCAGGCCCGGAGATAATGGCACTGAACCCCTTCGCATTTTGCAGAGGCTCTGTGACCCGCGAGATGGACCGGGTTAAATGCAGAGGCAGATATGAAAATCCAGCCATCTTAAGCCAGACATTAAAGATATTTGCAAAGTGGCCAAGCAGCGCTATTCATCTTACTGAGTCCCTTCTTGCTAGGAGGAAATTGTTATTCAAAAGTTTGAGTTATAGATTTTTTTTTTTTTTTTTGAGACGGAGCCTCGCACTATTGCCCGGGCTGGAGTGCGGTGGTGTGATCTCAGCTCACTGCAACCTCCGCCTCCCGGGTTCAAGCAATTTTCCTGCCTCAGCCTCCCAAGTAGCTGGGATTACAGGCGCCTTCCACCACGCCCAGCTAATTTTTGTATTTTTAGTAGACACGGGGTTTCACCATCTTGGCCAGGCTAGTCTCAAACTCCTGACCTCGTGATCCGCCCGCCTCGGCCTCCCAGAGTGCTGAGATTACAGGCGTGAGCCACCATGCCCGGCTTTTTTTGTTGTTGCTGAGATGGAGTCTCGCTCTGTCTCCAGGCTGGAGGGCAGTGGCGTAATCTCGGCTCACTGCAACCTCCACCTCCCAGGTTCAAGCGAGTCTCCTGCTTCAGCCTCCCTAGTAGCTGGGACTACAGGCACATGTTACCATACCCAGCTAATTTTTTTATTTTTCGTAGAGACAGGGTTTCACCATGTTGGCCAGGCTGGTCTCGAACTCCTGACCTCAAGTGATCCA